ATTTTACTGCTATTACTAGAATTCTAGTAAACTGCTAAGTGCTAAATAAATACACTCTCTTTCCGCTCGAAATTTTTTCGTCAGATTTCGAAATTCCAACATTTTAAGAGTAATAAATTGAATTGTGGATTATTCTGAATTTGTTCTTTAAAATTTAAATTTGAATCTGGTATGAAACAAAAGCAAAAGCAGAGGTAATATTGGAAAGAAATTAATGATAAAAGAAAACTGACTTTAAATTTGATAGATTACAAATATTTCTCAATATTTTAAAATAAAAGGCATATCACTTTCAATAGCAGCAAATGAGTTATAAAAACGCACGAAAAATGACATGCATGCATCTCTATTTTGTAACTACTAAAATTGTACCACGAAATGATAAACACACGCGATGATGACATGCGTGCATCTCTATTTTACTGCCACTGAAATTCTACTACTCAATCACAAACACGCACAATAATAACATGCTTGCATCTCTATTTCACTACACGCCAAATAATTCGTCGTTAACCAAAACGTGCATGTTATGCGAAAACTGTGTTCAGCCATGCAGCACGACTCAAGGATAAACCATACTTGAATCACTTCAATTTAATAAGAGATTATTCAAATTTTATTTGTCAACTAGTCAAGCCAAAACTTGTACGATATTGTTTGATGTTGGATAAACTTTTAAGTTGAACTTGAGTTTAGTTCCAGTAGTGTAAGATTGAATTTTACATGTAAACATTTCAAATTACTCGAGAGATCGGCTTGAATTCAGTTCAACCAAAGTTTATTTGAATTCGATTCAACAAATAAACAAGTCAAATTTAAACAAAATTTTAAACAAGTCAAATTTATTTGAGTGTTTGATGTGATCAAACTCGTTTATACCCTTGTACTGTACTATAGGGCGGGGTATCTCAAGTGATAAGAAAATTTCTTTTCGTTGGAGTCTACTACAATCTTTGGTTTTTCTTGTAAACACTTCATATAATTAAGCTTCATATAATTAAGAAACTTTAACCACATAGCCCGTCAACCTTGTTCTGGCTTCATCAGTAACTTTTATTTTCTTCCTCTCATCAAATGTGCCCTCAATTAATTCCTAGCTCATAATTGAACTATGTATTCTTCAAATTCTAAATACTTTACTCGTCTTATCTAAATACGATTTCCCATAAGCATCGATCCTACTCCAGGTGTCACTTAATATATACATTTGTTGCAGTTCCCTTTCTATTGTAAAATTTGCTTCTGATATATCACAGCTGGTAAGTAGGAAGCAATACTAGTTTATTGCAAGTTGCGACTTGTAATTGCCAGCCCCATTAAAGTTTCAACGACATTGTGGACGAGAGCTATTGACTTTGAGAATTAAAAATCACATCATAACTCAAGATCTTAGCCGGCCCACGTACGTTGCTGATTTGAGTTGACGCAATATATCTAAGCGTCGTTTCTTCCTTCTTCCAATTGTCAGATCCTTTTTTGTAAAATAAATATTAGCAGCAAGCTTATTATCAGTTGGATAATGATTGAGATTTCTTGGTTGCATCTGAAATCCTGAGTGAAGATTATACGTACAATATTTTTTGTCAGCTACATATTGTCAACTTGTTGGGTGACATTGATCATCAAATCACAACACATAATTGCTTGCGTAGGTGCGCGTGCTTTGAATTTGCTTCCTGTTATCTGATTCAGATAAGAATCACGAACTGATTTTTTTTTTTTTTTTTTGGTTTCGTTTTTGTTTATTATATGAATGGTACAACTTTATAATTAAATATGACTAGCTTCAACAGTATAGCTAGTATGTGTCAAGCATTTCGTGTCTGATGATGACACATTAAGGTATACAAATATCTTTAGAGATCGATGATGCATTTTAGTCAGTGTATAAAAAAAACTTTAAGCACCATTGAAAAGAATACACACCACATAGTTTCTTTCTTAAAGTAGATAACTTTTTAAGATCTTGGTACGTAAAGGAAATACTAATAGACTATATATAGTTACTTGACGGGATCATGTCCTCCAAGGTTAATACACGTTTCCTTGAAGTCTAGCTATCAACAATGCTGTTTCCGATAAATCGGGTTTATGTGCCGGGTTTGCAGAGGCAGCACCTTCATCGGAAATAAGAAATGTAAACGAGAGCAAGTATGAAAGCTTTGCATCATCAGCCGCCGCCCAAGAAAAAAAGGAAAAGAACACAAACGATAAGGTCGAACAAAAGCAAAACTGATCAGCCTACGATAAACATGGTAGCGTAGTTGATGTAAATTCCGACTAGTTAGTTTGACTTTCGCCTGCAACAAAGAATTTAACGCTGCCTGTGTAAACCCTGAAAATTACTTTGATGATCAGGTGCACTTCGCAACCTAGCTCGATTTGACTTTCATTACCAAAAAAAAATTAAACACTTTTGTTTCTTTAATCCTTTTTCTTCCCAAATTGCATACAACTACCTTACTGTGTAAGGTAGGAACCTTGAAGATTAAAATGATTGAGGGAAATCCAAAGTTGAGGAAGCATAACAATATGCCGACTGGATTCATAGAGTAGTCTGGGCAACCCAAAAATGCCATGTCGTTCGTGATCTCCGGCCCGTAAAACTCCAATTTGAAAATAAAGCTGTAAGTAGTGTTGATTAAAGGAAATCGTGAGCGTATAAAATCGTTGAAATCGAAACCATGCACGAGAAGTGAACTACTATTATTATTTTGGTTCAAGGGAGACTCTATATGTCTTATGAGGCGAAGGGAAAATTAAAGGGGAGGATTTAACCGCTAAAACGTCCTTAGCATTAATCAAGTTGAGTCCTTGGCCTTTCTTTTTTGGGAACGCAGGACAAAAGCTTCAGCCGAGACATAGAAATCAACCGACGAAGAAAATATAGCAGCCGTCACTTTTCTTTCTTTGGACAAAAAACGAGAAGGGAGAGAAAATATAGCAGCCGTCACTTTTCTTTCAGTTTTTGGATTTCCTCTTCGTCTGATAACACCCTTTCAAACCCACTTCTTTGATAGTTGTAATATTTTTTAAATTATTTTATAGCAATTTAACTTGACTGATATTAGTGATATTATTGTCATCTAGATGTTCCAGATAGACCTGTGTATTTCCATTATTGTAATAGTGGAGATTTTTTGATTCTACCATGTCTCCTGATTTTCCTCAATTTGAATTTTTAATATAAAACTCTTGGTGTCTTGTATCTTTTATTTTTCCTATATTTTATTATTACTGTTGGCATTGTTACTTAGTGATTTGATTTATTCATATTTTAACTAGTATTTGAAAAAAAATAATAATTTATCCTGAGTTAAGTATGGTATCGTGTACCTGCACTGGTAGTTTTATGGATTGGTTTAATGTATATGATTTCAGGTGAGAGTAGATTTGTGATTCCAAGGTTTCCACGTGCAAAGCTAGTTTAATTACACGCACGGACAATAATTTGCTTCCATCCACGGACAATAGTAGTGAATGTGAATTTCTATCTCTTGACAGAAAAAAAAGTAGTGAATGTGAATTTGATGTTGATGACTGATGTGCAGTGTAGTGTAGTGTACGCCCGCGAATTTGATAGTGACTGCGAGCATGGAGATTGAATTCAACCACCGGAAGTTCCTGAATCATACATATATCCATCCTAATTCTAATTATACTCGTGAGAAAAATGAGAGGAGCAAGGTAGGAATGAATCATATATCCACTGCTACTGCTCATCACAGCCAACTGTATAAAGACTCTCATATCCAAACCAAAAGCAATCATAAAATTTGGTGTTCGATCTGGAAGAGGTCTGTCTGTCTGTGGTCAGGTCATTCGCGCTAATTTGATATAATCCAAAATTTCTGTCGATCTGGAATGATTGACCTTCCGAGAGATTTAGACATCCACTTTCGACTAAACATCATTCAGTAGTGCTGCTGGACCAGAATCCTGTGGCGCTAATTGTTAAGAGATTAATGGCTGCTATAACCTTTGGGCTACTCAGATGAGATGAGGCCGTTTGTCAAACTGGATGATCATGACATTTAGCCGCTTTTGGCACACAGCGAATCCAAAACCAATGCATGGGGTTGCATTCGCTCTTTGAACTCTCAAGCTGTGCTAAAAATTTTGATCTTATAAATGAATGTCTTGTTTGAGTTTTTAATCCGTACGTCACTCATGAAACAACACCAATTTTTCATCCAGTAGAAACTTTACCTGTGTAACCACCGGCTTTTGGGTTGGTGGTCATCACCAATGCATTAAAGTTTGGTGAGGTGAGAGGCAAGGGTTCACCAATTTGTTACATTAAAGTTGCTCTGTTTAAAAAATCCAAACGAAGTGCACCCGTCTAGTGGTTCAGTCCCTTCCGGATTACCTTGGATCTCTTTAGGTCCTTTCCCTCCCCCTAATATAGGATAATCTATTGTATTGACAAAAAAAAAAAAGAAACTTGATCTGTGTAAATAAATTATGAACAGTTAATTATTCTACTTAAAAACTCGCAATAATAGTCTTGCATCTTCCCATGGTCTCTTTAATTTCAATTAATATTCGAGAGAAAAAGATAAATATTGTACACACAAATTCAAAGAGGAAGAAAATAAGAAAAGACCGAATGCTCCTCTAAGTGTTTCTATACTACTACCGCGTTTGAGTACTAATAGCCAAACATCTGTTATAGCTTTTGAAATTTCCATTCAAATCCTACTATTACAAAATAGAAACATATTTGGGCCCGAGCATTAATTTGGGCTTCCGTCTTACTTATTCCAGATTTTCCCTGCGTTCTGCGAGGGGTTTTGGTTTGCAGAAGGCGGCCCATCTGACTTCGCCGATACCACAATATTAGGTTTTCATGAACAATGAAACGACGCCGTCCATATCTTACGAGAAATTTCCAGAAGAAATTTGGACTTGCGGAACAATCCTTCTTCTTCTTCAAGAACAGTGGGTTGGGGAGTTGTGTAGGAGAGCAGAGCTCACAGCTCTCAGAAGACCTCCTTGCTCCCATGTGCTCGTATGTGTAATTATTCGTACTACTCTTTGGACATTGAAGATACTACAATAACGGATGGAATTTTATGCAGAGGAAGGAAAAAAACTAGACGAAGCATGTTCTCTTCCCCTAGCTCCCAGGGTTTCATTTCAATTCCCTTTTAGATTTGACTTACTGATAATCTTTCCTTTTCTACAAAAAATGCTAACTAGCCGGCGCTGTCCGTCGGGAACGTCGGACAGTTGGCGGTGGACCTACTGATATCGTCATTGAGAGCTGAGAGAATCGGTTACTTTGACGATCCTAACGTTCTGCCCTGCGTCGGCAACAACGCTTATGCGCCTTCTCCTCCCGGCGATCTCTCCCTCCCTCTCGAAGGTCTCGTTCGCCGTTCCCTCTTATACTGAGTGCTGCATTTTCTATGCTCTTTGTCTTAAAATGGACGAGGAATTTGAGAATGAAAGTACTATTTATTTGCTACTTTTCTTCTGTCTACGTATTTTGTTTGGGTTATCTGCGAAGCAATTCCGACTATGACTGGTTTGAGTCTGCAGCTTTTGATTCGTCCTCCAACCGATTGACTCTTGTACAGCAGAGGTCTCCAGTTGTAAAGGTAATACGCGTTGAATTAATTTATTTGGGAAGAAGCAGATGAAATAGAGATGTTTATGAAGCGTAATTGTGCTCCTTTAGATGATGAACTAATCATTTTGAAGTGGGAGAGGAAAATGTAAAGAGCTTTTATAGGCAAAATTTTGGGAAAATTGCTTTGTGTTAATTTCGCACTTACACGGTACAAAATGTGCAGGAGCTTTGTAACTAGCGTCTGCGCAGTGTTGTTGGGCGTTTGCTGGCAAACTTTCTTTTGATCTCTTATTGTCCTTCTGCTTTATGATGGTCGTTAACCCTTTCAGACTGATTGAGTCCTAAACTGCTTATGGAACAGGGTATGATGGTTGAATTTGCTAAGAATCTGGCAAATGTTGCAGCCAGAAATGGAAAGAAGCATGTCATTGTCCTCTCCAGCTTGGATTTTAAGCAGTGGCAAAACATTGATATGTCAAGGTACTGATCAGTTAAGTCTTTGTTAATTAGTAACTCTAGTATGCGTCTGTCTCTGGATTTTCTAGACGAATTTGGAAGTTATCTATTTATTGCCATCCAGAGTCATTGGTATCCAATGCTTGGACATTCTTGGATTTGGTGACTAATTGTAGGATTTTGGAAATTATCAAAATCATATTACAAAAGAACTCTTCTCCTTAGATCACTTTTTCATGCTCTTGCCATGCATTTGCGTCCTCTTTTGCTTCCCATGTTTTCAATTTTAAGTAGCTTTGAAGGATTTCACGTACATGAATGCCCATATTAGCTATAACCGTAGAAGTTACTCATACAAATCCCAGCTTTTAGTGTGTTATGTCATTAAATTTGGCCAGATAAATCCTTCTTTCTTTCAAGGCCTCTAGTCTTTATATTCAACCTGATATAACAGTCTCCTCCACCCCTTGGGGGCATCTGTATTTTCCCGTTCTCATGTTCTTTGCAAAAGATATTTGAGGCATTCTTTGATTAGTTTATGGGATATTTTGATTGTTTATCTCCCCCTATCTCTCGTCTCATGTGCTTCCCTTGTGTCACTTCCTTTCTTTGGGGCCCATTCTTACTTCAAGCTTTTAATAATGATGAATAATTAGGAACTTATCAATCAGAATTCTTTGCCAGGCGGTTAGTAGATGTTTCACTTGCTCTTGATAAATGATCTTCAAATCTTGGTGACTGAACTGTAGAATATTGTCGTAGAGACAATTCTGCCTAAATGCATGTTTGAAGTGCTTTTGTCTATGGTTTATTTGCTCAAGGCTCAAGGATGCTTAGAAGCCAGAAGTAAACATTCCTATTGATCTCTCGTGCTTTACTGCAGTGGTTTGCAGATATATTACCTGTCTAGTTCCAGCACAGATGGGACAGATGAGGACTGTGAAAAACATGGATGGAAGAGACTACCGGAATATAATCCAGCTCACAAGAGGTGGGAATATCTTAGTTCCACTATTGAAGAAAATATTGTTCAAGATGATGATTTGCTCTTTGAGGATTTAAAAGAAGAAGATTACTATCCAAGTTTGCCTTTTGCAGCACTATTTTCTTGTTTTAAGGTAAAGAAATGCAGAACCATCATTCGAATGAGAATCGATTAACTTTCCTGACGTCTTTACGTGTTATAGCTTGGATTTGTTGTTATATTGAATTGTAGGTTGGTTTTTTTGAACTTATGGTAAAGGAAATTGGACAGTAAACAGCTCATGCATTTGATTTTAATGCTCCAGAAACGAAATGTTATCTCCAGTCTCCGCAAGATGATATCTATCTTAAAGGTTCACATATATTCTCTGGGTATTTTGTTTCTCATGTCACACAAACTAGTCGTTGATATGATATCATATAGTTTAGGGCCTCCTATGTCTCCATCAGTCAGCTAGCCACTATTTAACTTCAGAATTATTAACTGAACATAATTACCCTCCCAGTTTCTTTGGATCAGGAAAAATGTATAATGTAGGTGAAGAGATGTTATGGAATTTTGTTGATATGATATCATATAGTTTAGGGCCTCCTATGTCTCCATCAGTCAGCTAGCCACTATTCAACTTCAGAATTATTAACTGAACATAATTACCCTCCCAGTTTCTTTGGATCAGGAAAAATGTATAATGTAGGTGAAGAGATGTTATGGAATTTTGCTGCTCCTATCACTGCTTGCGATCCTTACTTTCCACCTCACAAACTTGAACCTAAGAAGAACTGCCTGAATGTTAGTTAAGTATCTAGATTATCAAAGGAGAGCAATCTGGAAGCCTTGGGGGGGACATCACTCTTTCAGCATATCTTTTCATTTTATTGATTAATATGGAGCTGTGCTGGTCCTTCATTGCCTTTGTCGTTTTGGATCTTTATGGGTGTAACTTTGTGTGATGAAAGTTTATGTTCTGTTGGGGTAGGCCAAAGGTTTAAAAGTGACTTGTTTACTTTGCTATTGCTCGGAGGGAGACAATATACCTGATGCTTTCCAATTGGCCGAGGCAGCGAGCAAAATCTTGATCCAAAGCCCGAATGATTTTGAAGGTGAGTTTGAAGATTGAAAGCAAGGCTTGCTTCATTTTATTGTTACATCTGTTTCATCAGTGGTGACTTATGCTAGTTAAGTCTGGCGCATTTCATTTCCTGTAAGAAAAGATGATAGATGGAATGCTATCTAATACTTCCTCGATTGTATTATAGGTAATTTTGGTGTTGAGATTATGTTTATTTATCAATGCCACTGCCAAGTTGCAACACTTACAAATGCTTTTCGTCTTGAGTATGCAATACTACTGACTTGGTTGACTTAATCTGTTCAGGTACTGGAAGTGGTAGATGGATTGTTCCCTTCTCATGGAAGAGCGTGTATGGACCACCCCCAGATACATCTCTGTTTTAGGCTGCTCCTGGGTAGTGTTGTCTATTGTTTTGATTTTATGTTGGGTGTCTTTACATGGGGCCTTGAGACTTACATGTCTTGGTATGCCGACTTGCTAATATCTTCTCTGCTTCTATATTTAGCTAGGCTGTCAGCTTCCTGTTTTCTTTCTTTAGAGGAGATGTAATTTCATTCCTGTCCGGCTGTCCCATACCAGTGTATCATCTTTCACCTCCAAAGTAGAAGCACTCTGCATAAATGGCTGCTTTAACGTTTTCCTCGGTACTGTACTGTATCTATATACATCTGAACCGAATATGCAATCGAAATTACTATAGTCAAGAGTTTGTAACAAGTATTCTAAACGGGTCATGTCCTGATGTTGGGTTATATACATTGAAGATGGAAATACACCAAACTTGGATGGTTTGACCTAAAAGTTGGAGAAATTTTATACCAAAAGAGAAACCCGAAAAGAATTTGGCTATGAACTTTCAGATGCCGGTACAAAATGGTTGAACTTAAGACGCGTGACATCATACATACCACATACCATACGTGTGATTTTATGAAAGTAAATAACTGCCTTTATGTGTGTATAAATAAATTAGTAGTAACTGTTTTACTCGTAAACCAAATGTATATATATTAATACGCGCAGACTATGAAATTTTAATAGCTAAACGTTAAACAAAGGAGTACATATTCTCTCTGTCTGATCTGATGTACTAAACTACTTTGAGGCCCTTATTTTTGACATCCAATACACACACTCAAGGCTCTTACGTGTACATTACAATCACCTCAATATATTCTTGAAGCCGAGTAGCTGTGGACGACGGAACAATTTATGATCTTGGATTTATATTAGAAATGAGTTTTGAGTCCCAAATTCACAACCAAACAATTGACATGACAGGCGGTGGCGAACGGAATTTCACACAAGTACAAACTCATTTTTTTTTGGGTTTTGGTTCCTTTGGTAAATCGTGACGAGTGCACGTATGTCTTCGTTGAAACTTGCAATCAAGGTGTTGTCGGATTGATTACTAGTGTACTTTTAAAACATTTGAGGTCATTGAACTATTATTGTCTTCTATGATCTGAACCCTGAAGAAGCAAGACTTTCGTATCTGTGACTCGTCTCCCTTTCCAACTCCCATATATATCTTCGCACTATGGGGTACAGGTTGCAAAATGATGGCCACTTGACCGGGACAGCGCGCTCAAAATTGAACAAGGAACAGCTCAAATTTGAAAAATAATAAAAATGTTTCCTGTATTTGATTTTGTTAATTAAGCTTTTCAGCTTGTCAACTGATGATTCTTTCGATTTACATTCCCTATATATACATACCTTTGTTGATCACCATTTTCAAACTTACTAATCAAACCAATCTTTGCCTTGCTAAGTATACACTGCAGTGAACAATGTCGTCCTCTTCCTCCAATCATTCTTCCTCATCCAAACCTAACCCTTCATCGAAGAAAACCCTCCCATTACGAGATATTCCCGGTGGCTACGGCTTACCCTTTTTTGGACCCATAAAAGACAGACGAGACTACTACTACAACCAAGGTACAGATGAATTCTTCAAGAGCCGAATGCAAAAATATAACTCCACCGTCTTCAGAACCAACGTTCCACCAGGGCCTTTCATGGCCAAAAATCCCAAGGTTGTGGCAGTCCTGGATGCCGTTAGTTTTCCAATTCTTTTCGACAACTCTAAAGTTGAGAAGAAAAACGTTCTGGACGGCACATTCATGCCTTCCACTGACTTCACCGGTGGCTATCGCGTATGTGCCTTTCTCGATACCCGTGAGCCTTCCCATGCAGCCGTCAAAGGTTTTTTCTCATCCCAACTCGCCAAGTTACACAACAAATTCATCCCAACCTTCCGCAGCTCCGTTTCTGAGCTGTTCGCCAACCTTGAAGGTGAGTTGGATAAGGAGGGAAAGGCGAATTTCAACCACCATAGTGATAAGATTTCCTTTGACTTCATCTTTCGTTTGTTTTGCGATAATAAGAACCCTGATGAGACAGGTGTCGGCTCGAGTGGACCAAAAAGTTTCGATAAGTGGCTTTTTCTTATGCTTCACCCACTCATAACGCTAGGGCTGAAATTCGTACCGACTTTCGTCGAAGATTTTTTGTTACACTCATTTCCATTGCCATTTTTGTTTGTGAAATCCGATTATCAGAAGCTGCATGATACCTTTGACAAGTATGGGAGCGGAATATTGGATGAATCTGAGAAATATGGAATCACAAGGGATGAAGCCTGTCATAACTTGGTTTTTCTTGCAGGTTTTAGTGCATATGGAGGCACGAAGGTCCTATTTCCTGCTTTGATCAAGTGGGTTGGCGCTGCAGGTGAGGATTTGCACCGACAACTTGCTCATGAAATAAGAACAGTTGTCAAGGAAGAGGGAGGAGTTACGGTTTCAGCATTGAACAAAATGAGCTTGACCAAATCAGTGGTCTACGAGGCACTGAGAATCGAACCTCCAGTGCCTTTTCAATATGGAAAGGCCAGGGAGGACGTCGTGATCAGTAGCCATGATTCGTCTTTCTTGATCGAGAAAGGTGAAATGATCTTTGGGTATCAGCCATTTGCTACCAAAGATCCGAAAGTGTTCGACAATCCTGAAGAATTTGTGGGGGATAGGTTTTTGGGTGATGGTGAGAGGTTGCTTAAATACGTGTATTGGTCTAATGGAAGAGAGACCGATAACCCTACCGTGGATGACAAACAATGCCCTGGAAAGGACTTGGTGGTGCTCCTGTCTAAGCTATTGTTGGTTGAGTTCTTTCTCAGGTATGATACATTTTCGGTCGAGGCTGCCACCATCTTGTTGGGTCCCCTGGTTACTGTGAAGTCTTTGACCAAGGCCGACTGAATTTATCACGTATCAGTTCATTCAGACAGAGCTTGATAATTAAGCAGCCTTATTGAATATTTCAAAACTAATTAGTTTCACTGATTTGCTCATGATTCTTGGGGTGAAGTAAGCGGTGTTCTTGCATTTCCATTTTCTTTGTAAACATGTTTGTATCTTGATCTCATTTGTTGGCTGTCTAGCAGTAATAGCACTTCCGATAATGTTGGTACGTGTTTATCAACATTGTCATGTTTGTTGATTTCTGCACAAGGTGCCCCGCCACTTCTTGTTTGGTGCCCCGCTACTAACATATGCATAAAATATGCAGGAAGACCATAATCAAATCAATTCATATCAGCTCAAAAAGGTATCAAAAGTTGCTTAATCTTCTAAAAAAGGGGGAAATAGAAAGAATCTAATTAAAAGCTGTTTAACCTTCTAAACGCCCGCTAGTTAGGTTTACCATGTTATGTAATACTTCTCAAAAATTTAAAACATTAGTGGTTAAGATTCAAATGACCAAGATTTTTCCAGTAAAGATCGAAGTATATATGGTTATTTTTTTCCGTATCTTTTTTGTATAACTTGGTGGGAAAAGACAACCTTTTACCAGTGTGGTTTTTTTGTAGCTGTACCTTTCCCCCGCCTGTTAGAACTTCAGGAATTGTTAGGCCCAGAATGAGAGTCTCAAAATCTGAGGCATTGGGCAGGTGAGTGCCCTTTAAACGCATCAGTTTGAAGAGAAGCACTCGGCCAAAATGGGCTGGCCCGACTGTACATCTTTGAACTCTAATGTAAACCTCAATCGTTTTTTTGGGTTGCTTTGTTCATTCACTTTTCGATATTAATCTTTTTTTTTCTGCAAACGGTAACAGCTTTATATATATATATATATATATAAACAATTGATATTACAAGAATTAATTATAAAAAGGCCACAACTCTCACTTCCTTCTTTGCTATATCTATCAGCCGTACTGGAAATCACATTCCCATTCTGTATCGTGAACTAGCTTTACAGCAAATTGATGAGTCTGTGCGTGGCTGCATTCATTTTCTGATCTAGGTACAAAAGAAAAGCAATAGTAGTATTCAAAGTCTTGTTTTAAGTCCTGAATGCCTTCCAGTACAGCTGCAAATATTGCTGTCATGCACAAATCTGGTCCACTACTGATTTGCAGTGTAAGTTAACCTTTATTTTGGTCCACCCTGCATCCTTTGTATGTATTTGGTCTGCGCCCAATGCTTTTCTGCTTATCAGCCCTTTCAATTCAGACTTACTGCCGTATGATTGCTGACAAACCATTATGCCATGTTCGTTCAAAATGCGGGCCTTCAAGAAAAAGTACAATTGGTATCTTTGATCCATTCGCGAATCTGATCCATGCTGGTGCTTTCCTTTTGTGAAAACAATAATGGCAGTATGGAGAAGTATATAAGCAAAGAATGCAAAATTGCATCTTCGCTCAAAATCGTTTTTTCTTTTCTGCATGGGGTTAAAATCAAAAGAGTCCTCTATTTAGGAGTTTTTAATTTATTGGGTAACGATACGATTCAATTATGTATCACATGGGATCTTCTTTACCCGTCTCTCTCTCTCTCTCTATATATATATATATATAGAAGTATATAAGCAAAGAATGCAAAATTGCATCTTCGCTCAAAATCGGTCTTTCATTTCTCCATAGGGCTAAAATCAAAAGAGTCCTGTATTTAGGAGTCTTTAATTTATTGGATAACGATACGATTCAATTATGTATCACATGGGATCTTCTTTACCCGTCTCTATATATATATATATATATATATATAGAAGTATATAAGCAAAGAATGCAAAATTGCATCTTCGCTCAAAACCGGTCTTGCTTTTCTCCATAGGGCTAAAATCAAAAGAGTCCTCTATTTAGGAGTCTTTAATTTATTGGGTAACGATACGATTCAATTATGTATCACATGGGATCTTCTTTACCCGTCTCTCTCTCTCTTTCTCTCTATATATAGAAGTATATAAGCATAGAATGCAAAATTGCATCTTCACTAAAAATCGTTCTTTCTTTTCTCCATGGGGCTAAAATCAAAAGAGTCATCTATTTAGGAGTCTTTAATTTATTAGGTAACGATACGATTCAATTATGTATCACATGGGATCTTTTTTACCCGTCTCTCTCTTCCTCTCTCTCTCTCTCTATATATATATATATATATAGAGAGAGAGAGAGAGAGAGAGCGCTTGAAATGCCACATGACTTGTGTTGTTCATTTTTTGAATGAGACTAGTGAAGAATAATTCGTTTCATTCACGTCGTTTTGTCCAAAAAAATCACCAATCTCGATTAAACTACAAAGCCTCGTTTTGTTTGGAAAATAGCAACCCAAATGAGTTACTTTTTTGGAGTTTTCACTGCAAGTCCCGCTGCCCACTAACTCGCCTCGCCTCGCCCCGCTTTCTATGCGGGACTAATAAAAATTTATAAT